ATATATATATATATATATATATATATATATATATATATATATATATATATATATATATATATATATATATATATATATATATATATATATATATATGATGAGGATAATAACGACGATAAGACTCGGGCTGACGTCAGCTGCCCCAGATGACGCCTCACGTCTCGATCGACCCGACAACACCTGGTCAGCTCAGGCCGGAACGTCGACCGAGGCACATAAACATCCTGCTCAGGCTCGGTCCTTCACACCACGCCAACACTAGTGTCAGACGCTACTAGGAGTACGAGCGTGCCCCCTGTAAACGGACACATCAGGAAACAGTACGAGCGTGCCCCATGTTTCTCATGTTATATCCATAAGAAATCCCATGAGACAATGGCATTTTTTATATGGATTTTTATCCCTTTTTCCTTTCAATATGTAGATAGCATCGGATGAAGCTGCATTTTTGTTGGATTTGGTCTCAATTGATGGGACCTGGGATGAAGTTGTACAAGACCATGTTGTTGAATGTTGTGTGGAAGCTGGACTTTGTGATATTGCAAAGTTTATCCTCTACAGGGAGTAAAACTTGATTTTTCTACCAAGGTATGATTTCTTTCTAGCTTTCATAGCCAACTTCCACTAGGATATGAAACCCCTATTGAGGTGTTCTCTGATTTGAGAAGAAGTGTAACATCCCAATTAGTTCCATATCGAAAATGGGTTAAGACTAAGTTTGACTTATAGGTCACGTCATATCTACGTGATCATCAAAAGTAGACCATATTATTGGTACGATCTAATCTCATGTCCAAAGTTAAGTGATTCTCATGTTCGAGTAGCTTTCGATAACTCAGTGAAACATAGAATTAGAATTAATTCTCACGTTAGAGTCATCGTTGCTACGCTCTCTTGCATCTCTGATTAAGGATTAAAGGGAGGATTGAGCTTCAAGCCTACATATGTTTGACTGATTACACCGGATGGGCTGCAAATGAATCATCCACAAGCTCTTAGCAGTGAAGCTAAATGAATCGACATAGCAATTATAATATGATACGACTTCTTTTATTTTTAGTTTTTTGCAGGATGTGACACAAAATTTGCATAGCTATTAGATTGAATCTTTCGACGCTGAGACAATTCATGATCACCCGGACCTCATCCTGTTGAGCTGGTTCAACGCCGGCTGCAGAATGTTGTACAGGACCCAAAGAATGGCCGGAGCTACGACGAACAACAGAAGCAGCCCCCTGTTGTCACCCGAGGAGGAGGCGTCGGCCACCGCCATGATCTCGGCCGCCGACGCGCCCGGCGTCGACATGAACCCAGCGGCCGCCAAGCCGCCGCCGAGCCCCAGACTGACGACCACTGCCTTCTCGGTCCTCATCCTGTTGAGCTGGTTGAGTGCAGGCTGGAGGATGTTGTAGAGGACCCAGAGGACGGCCGGGACGATGGGGAGGAGAAGCGCGAGGCCGCGGTTGTCGCCTTCAGCCACGTCGGCGATCTGCTGAGCCGCAGACGCCGCGTCGGAGCTGATCAGGCTGGCGAAGATGGCGCCGGCGATGGCGCTGGCGCTCAGGGAAGAAGGGATGGTGGTGATGGTTGTCTTGGAAGCTGCTGCTGCTGCAAGTCCTTTGGGGAGGTTTTGGAGGGAGAGGAGAGAGACTGGTTTGGTTAATGTTGCCTTTGAGGAGGTGAGAAGGTTTGGAGCAGGGCATCTGGTAGTGAGGATGGCCATGGCTGCCATGGTCGCCATGGAGGAAGGATTCTTCTGGTTGGAGGAGTTGGTTGCTGTGCGAAGGGAGAGTGAGGAATGCCGAGAAGATGTGGCGTTTGTTGGAGAGAAGAATTGAGTATGTTTGCAGGGAAGACAGACGTCTGACAGCGAATAGGGGCAACAGGATGCTGTGTATTAGATTCTCTTCTTATCCGTGGATTGAAATGGGAGAAATATGGATCTCATGTTCACAACCCATGCATACTTTTCTTATCATCAAATTATTTTTTTAATAATAGTCGATGAACAAATTGAATAAATTTGATTAGTTTAAAAATATTTTTTATATATCAAGATAATTAAATTTGATGTTAATTAACATTTTATAAATTTAGTAAATATTTTTATATTTTATCTTTCATATATTAATTAAAATGTTATTTAAAAAAGTCTTCAAATCAAATTAGGAATGAATATATTATTTATTTTTATTTTTTCATTCCAGCCTGCATCTTTCTTCTCCCTCGCTTGCTCATCCTCCTCAGCTCTTCTCTTCTTTAATGATCGGATGTATGTGATTGATCTCGATAAGCTTGTTATCATCCTCTCCCAAAAGAAGAAGTGGTGGCGAGTAACAGATAAGCAAAAGAATGACGTAGCACAGCGAAGGGTTTCCAATCCTCACACCACCTAATGATGCGAGGGTTCGGTTCATCAAGCCATGTTGATCGGATCAGTTTTAAAGAAAAAAAATATTTTTTAAAATATTTTTTAAATAATTTTTTTGTAATGGCTTGCGTAAACCATTCAAGGTTGAACTCCTAACCTTGACTAGCGCTCACGAAGAAGTGGCGTGACTTCTAGCCTTTATTATTCAAGGGGATGTTGCTCACTCTAAACCCATCTCGAGTAACCAAATAATAGTTGTCATATCCCTTGCAAAGTCAAAAACAAGCAAAGAAGAGAGTTCGGGTCGAAACGATCTCGATTACTCGACACTCTCCAATAAACGCCACTAGATAGTACCATGAGTTTGGCACCATTGGAGATAGGACATGATAACAATGTGTAAAGAAACCTGAGTCCTAGCATCGTAGGATAGCTCGAACCCATTCTGAAAAGAGTCATATAAATGTTACCCATGTTGAGGGGTGTGCAGCTCATACTCTGTCGAGATGTAATACCAAGATCAAAGTTCCACAAGGAATGACTCTATCACAATCGAGTCACAATCATGAGCTCGCTTAATAGCTTTTAGGGCTTAGACAACTCTTACATCCATTGAGAATATGCCCCCTAAGCAAGAACTTATTTGTTCCACCCTCGAATTGCTCGATAATGATGCAATGTCCTTGATTGAGATTCGACTTGAATAGGTGGAAGAAAAGGAGGAAGACACCCCGACTTACGACCGGACTATGAAAGACTTCGAGGTGAGGGTAATATGAGGTACGTGAAGAGAAGGCAACCAAGTGAACAAGATAAGCCCCTCCTCCTCCATGGCAAGACAAATGATAAGGAATGCTCCCACCACCAATTGCAAAGTGACACTTGACAACCACCTAAGAGCTAACGTAGAACAACATGACGAGTGGCCGAAGGAGAGAAGGGCTGACCTAACACATGACGGACAACTAACTCTATGTCGTTCGGGCCATATGGGTCAGCACCGAATGGCAGAAGTCTGCATAGGTCAACCCATACCTTCAAGAATATATAAGTGAGCTGCTCATGCAACCACATAGAATAAGGAGGATCAAACCCTTTACAAGACAAAACTATTTACTAACTTGAGCATCGAAGGGGTGTCCAGTCAAGAATCCCTCCCCTCTCAATATCGACTAGTCGTGCAAAAATACGACATAAGTGGGACGACTCAAGTCCCATCTCAAGTCCATCGCAAAGACAAAGCAGAGCCCAAGAGCCAACCTCCCAACCCGAACACAAAGTGTTTCAAAGCGTAGATTCTGTTTCTACAATTATTCTTCTACTTGTGATTACACCTTTTATTTCAGCTGCCTCTCTCAGTTATCTACTCTACAAATATCTGTCCGTCTTGGACCAAAAGAATCTGCGAGAAGTGGCTCAGAAAGCTCGAGCAAGTATTGAACATTCAAATCATCATTAATTTCATATTCTTATCTTATTTCATATAGTAATGTGGTATCCTGCAACACGATAAGTGGTTGTAGCATTAAAGAATACAGTGTAAAGCCTTCGAAAGTTCTGCATAAAGGTGAATGATCAAAGCAGCTACTTAATCTTCTTTTGGCAGCTGCAGCAAACAGCTTTCAGCCCTCATCAAAGATGCAGCTTCTTCTGCACTGGATTTGGAGATGTCTTAAGAGGATAAGAAGCTTCCATGGCGATACCACAAAGCCCCTCGCTCCACTCTGGTCCCCATGAGTTCTTCACTATCCAGTACTTCATCCCATCCTTAGATGGCCCATAGCACCATATCTAATTTGAATCCTAAACCTTCTCTTTGCCTCCCACAGAAACTGTGCTTCATCAACATGTAAAAGAAACCAAAATTAAAATGAAAATGGCTTCCAACCTGTAAATCTGGAGATTCTATAAATTAACACATTAAGATAAAGAAAAGGCAGAGAAAGTCCTCCATGACATGACTTGTTGATTATTCAATTACATGCTCTGCAAAGTAAATTTAATCACATTTTATTTGTAAGATGTGCACAACACACAGAAATACAGCATAAATGTACATAAACGGAACTTGAACTATACACAATGTGTCTAAAACAAACATAAAAAGCCGATAGGCAATATAGAAATCATGAGAAGTAATTATACAGAAACAGGAGGTATAAACTGATGAAGCAATTATTTGAGTTTCAGTCTTATCTTCCACTTCCTCATGTTCTTTCACAGTTTCTTCATCCTCCTCATAATTTTCTTCATCAAATACAGAGCATTTCTGGTCCAAAGAAGCCAATAATGAACTGGAGGAGAAATATTCTTTTTTTGGAAGCAAGTGGTCTTCTTCTGTGGTGGCTTCAACCTATGACCCGTCATATTGTTCATCAATGCCTTCGTAATTGATAGTATATTCAATCTTCTAATCATAATCTAAGTGACACCGTTTTTGGATGATGATTGGATTAATCATAGCGATGAAGGGACAGTTACTAATTGATAGCATCTTCAGTCTTCATCTAAATGGTAACGTTTATGATTGGTGATCGGACTAATCATGTCATGGTGATGGAGGCACAGTTATAATGAATCGATGGTGTAAAATTATAATGAACGATACGGTAGTAGGAGCAATAGGATAGAGGCGATGGACGACAGCTTGAAAACGAAAGTGAGGGATAATTTAATTTTTTAAAAAATAAAATTTTTGATCAACGGAAAAAAAAA